GGGCCAGAAACCACCTTGCTGGCCCCGTTCCCAGCGGCATCACCTCAGTCCGAGTCGCCAGAGTGGCTCCTGCCCCCTACCTGAGGTTCCCTGGGGCTCCTGAGGTCCTTTCCCTTCTTCCTCCTTTTCCTTTCCGTTCCTCCTCCTTTTCCTCCTCCTCCTCCTCCCCCTCCTCCTCCTCCTCCTTCTTTTTTTTCTCTCTCGCCCCCCTCTTCTCTCTCTTCCTCCCCCTCCCTTCTCCTCCTCCTTTCTCCCCTTCCCTTTTTCTTCTTTACCTCAAAGAGAGGGTGGGCGACCCCCCACCCGACAACGAATCTTTTCAGATTCGTTGTCACTCTCCCTCCAGTTTTTTCCTATGTTTTTTTTTTGTTTCCTCGCTTTCTCGGCTTCCCGACGCTCCGACACCCCTCCAGAGGCATCCAATACCGCTCCAAGACGGTCCACGAGGTCCCCCAGAGGACCCCCAGACGGTCCAAGAGGGCCCCAGGACGGTCCAAGGCGGCCCCAGGACGGCCCCAGAGGCGCCCAATACAGGCCAACGGGACCCCAAAATGGCCCGAAGAGCGGCCCAAGATGGCTCCAAGACGGCCCGAGGACCGCCCAAGAAGGCCCTCGGGGGCCCCACGACAGCCCAATGGGGCGCGATAGACGAGCCCAGAGAGGCCCACGAGGCCCCCAGGAGCCCAAAAGAGGTCCCCCCGAGGTGCCACGGGGGCGGACGAGGGGACCGCCTCAGGAGGTTTTGAACGGTTTTGGGTATCAAAATCATGCGTTTTACGACGGTTTTGGAAGGATTTTGGCCTTCTCGCCTTTTCCGCTTGCCGACGCTCGAAGACGGTCCAAGAGGCCTCCAAGAGCGCCCCAGAACGGCCCAAGAGGTTTCCAAGAACGCCCCAAGACAGCCCAAGAGGGCCCCAAGACGACCCAAGAGACGCTCAAGACGGCCCACGAGGGCCCGAAGACAGGCCCAAGAGGGGGCCAAGAGGGGGACCACGGACCGAAAAACCGAGCACTCCGCCCCAAGAGGGCGCCAGGAGGCCCAAACATGCCCCCAAGAGGCCCCAAGGGGCCGCCAAGAATCCCCCAAAGAGGCCCCGGGAGGCTCCCAAGGAGCCTAGACGAGGCTCCAACAGAGAACCCCAACAGCTTCCAACATGGGCCCAAAGAGGCCTCGAGCCCGCCTCCGAGCTTCCTCGCCGCGAGGGTGCCACCACACGGCCCCAGACGGGCCCAGGACGGCCCAAGGCGCGCTAAAGACGGCCCAAGACGATTCCAAAACAGTCCCAGGAGGGTGCGCCCAGGACGGCCCAAGGACGCGCCCGGTCGGGGCCTCAAGACGGGCCAAGATGGCAAGAGAGCCCCAGCTGGCAAAAATCGTTAATTTTCCATTGTTTATTGTTACACCCTTTGCGTTTCCCGCCGTTTCGGCGGTCCCATGCACCAAGAGGCCCCAGAAAGTCCCAGGAGGGTACGAGGAAACGCCCAGGAAGGCCCCAAGACGGGCCAAGACGGACCCAGCACAACCCAAGGCGCGCTGCGACGGTTCAAGACGGCTCCAAGACAGCCCCAAGAGGGTGCCAACACGGCCCCTGCTGGGCCCAGGACGGCCCAAGGAGGCGCACAGGAGAGGCCCAAGACGACTCCAAAGCGGCCCCCTCACGGTCCCAGACGGCTCCAAGACAACCCCACGAGGACCCCGATGGGCCCAGGACGGCCTACGGACGGCCCATGAGGGGCCCTCGACGAACCAAGACGGCCCCATCACGGCACACGGCGCCCTCAAGACGGGCCTGGACGGCTCCAAGACGGCCTTTTGAGGGAGCCAACGCGGCCCCACACCCTTCGGGCGCACACTTGGGGGGGTTGGGAGCTTGCGACAAGTCTCCCACATTCATTGTCCTGCCCCATTCTGTTCGCCTGGAGGCCTCCTCCAACCCTGTGGGGGAACAAGAGGAAACCCAACGGGCCGCCAACCCTGGGGCCCGTGGGCCCCGCGCCGCTTGGGCAGAAGACGAACGCCGGGTCTGACAGGCCAGCTACCGCCCCCCTTTGCCCGATATGTTGTGCCATTATGTTCCCCCAAGGGCCTTGGCGAACTCTTCGGGCCAAGCAGACCGGACCCCTGGGACAGCAGCCAATTGATATGACCCTGGGACCTCTCCGCATTCTTCGGACGAGCACCTGGGGGGCCCAGGAGATTCGGACAAGTCTTCCCCATTCCTTGCCTTGTTCCGTTCTGTTCGCCCGAAGGCCTCCACAGACCCTCTGGGCGAACAGAATGGGACATGGCGAACAAACCCTCCCGTTGGCGGTGATGCGACTGGATCGCACCATCAAGGCGCGCCCGGAGGTGATGGCCGACCCAACAGCGGTTTCTCTAAAGACTTTACAGAATTTCACATTTTCTTGAAGCTCTCTTGTGCCCTCCCTGTAGATCCTTGCGAGCCTCCCCGGCGCTTTCGGTGGTTTTCCCCGATGGTCTCCCGAGCCCTTTCCCGAGCGCTCCTGAGACGCCACAGATGGGTTTCGACCTCGACGCACATCCCTGAGAGACTTCGAAACTGTCCTCAATAGGAGGGGGGTGAACGAGCAGTGCGCTGGGCCAAGCTGCTGGAGCGCTGCAAGAGCTCGGACACGAAGGCGCGGTTTCGCTGCCGCCGCCCGAGCCGCCGCCGTGTTTGTAGATGTTCGGTACAATCTGCGCCGTTCCTCCGAGAACCATTTCAGAAAGATGTCGTGGACGGAGTTCACGGGTCAGCCCTAGTCAGCTACAACGCTGTGATCAGTGCGTGCGAGAAGGGCCAGCAGTGGCAGCCGGCGCTGGCGTTGTTGAGCGAGATGCGGGAGGTGAAGTTGGAGCCCAACGTCATCAGTTACAGTGCTGGGGTCAACGCGTGCGAGCAGGGCGAGCAGTGGCAGCGGTCTTTGGCGCTGTTGAGCGAGATGCGGGAGGTGAAATTGGAGCCAAACGTCATTTGTCTGCACTACAACTCTTGGCGTTGCGCGTGCGCAAAGGGGCTGTCGTGAAAAAGCTGCCCACCACGAGCGCCCGAAGCGCCCTGGAGCTCTCCGACTGCTCCAGGGAGCCCCTCGGTGGCCCAAGACGGCTCCTGATAGCCTCAAGACAGCTCTGAGGCGCCCTGGAGCGGCGAGGACGGCCCAAGAGAACCCGAAGCGAGCCCATGACAGCCCACGGCGGCCCGACGAAGGACCAGGTCCTTCTGGAGACGGCTGAACCGGACCACGGTGACTGTCCCTCGAGGCCAACATCATAGGTCCTCTTTGGTTTTTGAAGGTTTCCCATCTCGCCATTTCGGGCCAAGAACGGCCCCAGACGGCCCCAGGGGTACCCAAGATTGCCCCAAGACGGTCCAGGAGGCCTCGCCAAGTGCCCCAAGACGGCCCCAGAGTGCCCGAAGACCGCCCAGGAGAAGCCCAAGACCAGGCACTAGAGCGAGCTCCAGGACGACTCCCTACATGGCCCCAGGACCGCCCAAGAGGCCCCTGAGACGGCACAAGAAAGCCCCGACATGGGCCAAGAGGGCCCCTAGAGGCTCCGGGAAAACCCCCGCGAGGGTCTCGAAGAGGGGTCGAAGGGAGCCCAGACGACGCCCGCCCCGCGGCCCCCAATGGGCCAAGCACCATCCACGGACCCTCCCCACATGCACCAGGGTCTCCACATGGACTCCGATGGTTCCCAAGGAGCTCCCAAGGAGAGCGCCTCGAGCCATGGCACCCTTTCGCCGTCTTTCGAGCCCCAAACGCCCCCAAGATAACCCAATAATACCCCGAAGGCAGACCCCAGACCACTCCAGAGCCTCACAAGAGACTCCGACCGTTTCCACAGCTCGCAAGAGCGGTCGCAGGGCCACTCCGAGTTGCCCTACAGTCGCCCGCAAGACTACGACACTTGCCGAGAGACTCCGACAGTTCCCACGGAGCTCCCAAGAGCGGTCCCAAAAAGAGACACCCACGGTTCTCACGGAGCTCCCAAGAGCAATCCCAGGACCACTCTGAGATGGCCCAGAGTCGAACCTCGGGACCTCCCCCCCTTCGGCCGATGAGGGGTGACAGAGGCGCCCTTCCCCTCTGACCTCTTCCTCCTTCCCCCAGCGAGGCTCTGTAGCCGCGCCCGGGCCTCCACTCCGCTTGTTATGGGTGACCCTCACCCTCCACCTTCCGCACCTTCCGTGCAGCAGGTTCCACGCCGCGGCGGTCGCCGCCGCGGCCGCCATTGCGGTTTCCGCCGAGGCCGCAGCAGCGGTTTCGGCGGCGGAGGCGTCCGCCGCGGCGCAGCACCTGCCGCGCGGAAGGTGCGGAAGGTGGAGGGTGAGGGGACAGGGGGGGACCTGCAACAACTTCGGTCGCTCCTCCTCTGCGGCCGACGAGGGGTGACAGGGGCGGGGGGGGTCGCAGACACTGCGGGGAGCAGGGCCACGCTCGCCCCCCCCCTCCGTTCTGCCGAATAGAGCCCCCGGCGGCCCCAAGACAGCCCCAAGACCTCCTCCTCCTCCTCCTCCTCCTCCTCCTCCTCCTCCTTCTCCCCCTCGTAATTGTCCTCGTCTTCCTCCTCCTCCTCCTCCTCCTCCTCCTCCTGCTCCTCCTCCTCGGTGGCCCCAAGATCACTGGACCGCTCCGAGATGGCGCAGATCCCCCAAGGATGTTCGAAGACGGCTCCAGCCCCAGCTCCCGGTGCCTGCAGCAAGCCCTGCGGCGAGCCTCGGGGGCGACAGGGGGGACCTTCGGACAGCAACCTCGCAGCGCGCACGCCTCTGCCAGCGGACAGCACTTGCACGGCACTAGAGGCGCCAACAAAAACAGCAAGGGTGCCCCCAAGACGCCCCAGACAGGCTCGCGGGAGGGCCCAACATCCTCCGGGGTCGGCACGGCCCCAGGGACGCCCGAGATCTTCAACTTCGTGAAGCTGTACACCCACTGTGCGAGTCCCAGGTTCAGCACACCGTGGATTCAATGCACGGGTTCGCACTGGTCTGCTACAGCGCTGGGGTCAGCGCGTGCGAAAAGGGAGAGCAGTGGCAGCGGGCGCTGGCGCTGCTGAGCGAGATGTGGGAGGTGAAGCTGGAGCCGAACGTCATCTGTACTACAATTTTGGTCGCGGCGCGTGCGAAGTGTAGATTCTGCAAAATCCGCTCAGGAGCGCCTCCAGGCGCCCAGAGCGCCTGAAGCAACCCCGGGACGCTCCCCGACGGGCCCAAAGAGTCGCCAAGTTGCCCCGAGACGGCCTCGAGCAGTCCCAGGGCAGCTCTGTGACGCTCCAGAGGGCGCAAGGACGGCCCAAGAGGGCCAGAAGACGCTCTAAGGGGCTCCAAAGACGGCCCACGAGGACCCCGATGACGCTCCCACGAGCAGACGAAACATGCAATATATATAATAATATATATATATATATATATATATATATATATATATGTATTGATGTTCTAAGGTCTACCGTTATTCCCGTGAAGGGGCCAGGGCGGCCCCACACAGCTTCAGGTCCTTCCAAGATCGCACCGAGATGGCCCACGTGGCCCGCACGAGCCTACCAAGACGGCCCACGGGGGCCCGAGACGGCCCAGAACAGGCCTCGGAGGGCCCAGCAGAGCCTCGAGTGCCCCCCCAAAAACGCCCCAGGAGGTGCCCACCAGGATCCCAGACGGGCCCAGACCCCCACCCTGGTCCTACGAGGGCCCATGAAGCGCCTGGGACGGCCCCATAGGGCCCACGAGTACCCCGATGGCGGCCCCGCAAGGCGGAAAATCATGTGCATCTGGATGTGAGAGCAAGTCCGCGTAGACAACAAGCGCGGTAATGACGACGACGACGGCGACGACCTCGGTGACGTCCTCCTCCTCCTCCTCCTCTTTCTCCTCCGCCTCCTCTTCCTCCTCCTCCTCTTTTGGACACCTTTCAGGTGAGACGAGGGAACACACAAGTGGAGGCTGAGTTCCTCTTGCTGTTCTCTCCGCGGCAACTCAGGCAATCGCGAGTGGCGTTGCTACGTCTGCTCTCTGGCGTGCTAATCGCGGCGCCTGCTGGCACTTGGGGCGCCCATGTGCCACGCTGGCCATGTCGCGGTAACGGTCTGTGTGTGAGCCTCACTGCGGGGGAATATGAGCGTGGGTGTTTTCAGTGTGAGCGATTCGCAGAGTGAGCGGATGTGGGTACGACCGAGCTTGAGTGTGAGTGGGTCGGGATATTGCCAGTGTGAGTGCGGTGGGGTCTGAGTATGATTGCGCCTGGGTGCGGGCGAGTCTACATGCAAGTGGGTCTGAGTGCGAATGGGTCCGAGCGTGGGTGGGTTTGAGTTTGCGTGCGACGAATGCAAATCTGAATGTGAGTGAGCCCGGGTGCGGGGTAGTTCGGGTATGGGTGAGCATGAGGGCTGGCGGGTCTGAGCGCGAGTGATTATGAGTGTAAGTTGGTATGGGTGTGGGCGGGTCTGGGTTTGATCGAGTCTGGTTATGAACGAGCAAACCTGTGAGAGTCTGAGTATGACCGAAGCAGACAGTTAGCGATATTGAATGTGACGATTGAGTCTGAGTTAGGGAGAGGTGCTGATCAGTAAATCCGGATGCAAATGAGTGCGCGCGGGTGGGGAATAGCGGACGGAGGAGGGTATGTGGGTTGGTAAGAAGCACACAAGTCCAAACATTCTTATGGGGGGGGCAGAAACAGGCAAACCGTTGACATATCCCCCCAATCCGAGCGCCACCCCTGAACTGTCCCCACCTTTGGCGGCTCCGACGTGTGGTGCCCCAGGGCCACGCCTGCAATGTCACGGTGAGCATTGGACCACACCCAAAAATGATAACACGAAACAAAGGCAAACCGCTGAAGACTTCCCCCCTCTCTGAGCGCGAGTCCTGCGGCGTCCCATCTTCTGGCGGTTCCCCCACTGTGGTGCCCAAGCGCAGCGAATCCCATGTCGCGCCGGGCATTGGGCCACAAAGAAAAATACATTTCGGGAACAGAGAATCTGGACTGGACTGTCCCCGCCCCTGGCGGCTCACATACGGCGTGCCCGAAAGCAACGCCTGCTATATCACGGTGACGCTTTGACCACCCAGGACAAAACATGTTCGTGGCAGAAACAAGAACACCGCCCGAGGCATTTTCACACATTGCTTCGACAGCACAAGGTGTTGGCCACGCAAACAGGTGATACCGTTTGAGACACCCCCGCAAACAGAGCGCAAACGGGCCCGTGCAATACCCTTGTGGCGGCTCCCCTGTGGGTTGCCCGCACCAGCCCCCTCGCATAAGGCATCCTCGCAAGCTTCTCCGGAAGCGCAGGGTGCTGAGCACGCAAACGGGCAAATTGATTGAGATGTCCCCACGGTCTGTGCGCGAACGGGCCCATGCGATACCCCTGGCGGCGCCCTTTGGGAGGCTGAAGCCAGTGTCTCGCCGGAGACATCCTCACACATTGCCCAGGATTTTCCTTTTGCTTGCACGCGAAAGCGGATCTGAGTAGGAGAAAGGTACGAATGACTCTGGGTATGAGTGCATACGAATGAGCCTGAGTGAGTTTGAATGCGAGTGGGATTGGGTGCGAAGGAGTCAGAGTTTGACGAGCGAGGTTGAGGACGAAACGGAGGAAGAAGGAGACGGAGCCGATTCGGCCTGAGTACCAACAAGAAACCCATGTTATAATATGGGGCACGAATTTGCTGCGAGCGATGACCACCGAAACCTTCGGCGTTGGTTCCCGAGCCAGTGCTGTTGTTATTGTAGTCAGCCTGATATCGGCGCGCATGTCGTTATTGTTGAGACGCCGTTAGTCGGTCGCTGCAGCAGTATAGTACCATGTGTTGCTCGATTGTGCTGTTTCTATCTATATATGGTTTACTCCTGGCCAGCCTTAGGTCGCGTTGCACGTTTCGTCTGGTAGGGCGCAGTTGATCGGACTCCGCTGCATCCCCCGTTTTCAATTATGCTTCAATCGCTCGTGCTAAGTACAAATATGTTATGTTGTGGTATGGTCCGTTCTGGGTGGGCTGGCGTGACGACGTGGCGCCTGTCAATTTTGACACGCCGTCAAATCAGTCGTTGTTGCGATTCTTGTTTCCTGTGCCCAGCCTGACTTCGGCGCGCACGTCGGGTTTGATAGGGCATCGTTGCAAAGCCGCTGGTGTTTCCGTGTCCGCTCTAGTCAGCGACGTTCGATGACGGATATTTGCTATATGAAATAGTACGCTATGGTATGGTATGTTGTTTTCGCATATCGAATGTTGGTTTTACATTGTGTCATGCTATGTTATGTTACGTTCGATTCCGTTTGGCAATTGGCCCCCGAACAATTTGTTTAGATGTAGTAGGTCATGTATTGTTGTGGGCCGTCATGTTAATTCGTGTTCAGGTCGATACCCTTGTTTTAGTACAGGTATAAGCTTCTCTGACGGCCTGATGTGGAGCTCATGCGTTTACACGCTTAGCGATAGCTGCATTGCTATGGTATTGTTGTATTGCTCTGCGATTGCAGTCCACTGATGTTCGGCTTCGCTCAATGATGCAACACTCTGTGGTATGGCAGTATGCTATGGTTGTGTTGTGCTTGTTCAGATGTTCGGTATCATTTGCTATGTGGTGTGATTGTCAGATGATATGCCTCTCTTTATTTCTCTCTGTCTCTCTCTCGCACTCGGATCGCTCTACAGTCAAGTGAGTATTGTTGGTAGTGAAATATTGAGCGCATATGCGCGTATCGGAGGCGTCAGGGGGGCATGTGGCATGTCTTCATAACCCTTGCATCCGTAGCCTGGTTTCCCAAGGGGCGCGACTTGAGGGATCGACCGACCGACCGACGAAAACGACGACGACCGACGACGACCGACCGACACGATCGACGGCCGACGACGACGGACCAACCGACCGACCGAGGTCCGACGACCAGACGGACCGACCGACCGACCGACCGACCAAGAGGACGACGAAAGACGCCGACGGACGGACCGACCGACACACTGACGACCCACGACGGGACCGACCGACGTACCGACCGACCGACCGAGACGACGACGAACGCCGACCGACCGACCGACCGACCGACCGACGACTGGCATTCCCTTTTTTATCGGCTTAGTATGTTGGTTGTAGTAGTGGCACAACTGGTAGAACACACATGGTAGGTTTCGATGTATTCCGTTCTGCTGAACTATAGACCGTCCCGTTGTGACATCGTATGATTTGTTATGAGATGGTATAGTGTGGTATGCAATGTTGTGTTATTAGACACGTTATGCGGTGTGGCTTAGTGCGGTGTGTTGTGTCATTTGCTGGCTTTGTAGTATGGGGGCAGGTGGCAGGCTATATCCGAATATGTTAAAGGGTTCATGCCATGATGCGTTCTGCGCCGCAGCGGTAACAGTAGTAGAACAATGGTTGTGTTTGTTATGCCGTTTATGTTGTGCATTCGCAGTGTCCTCGCATTTGTTGTATGGTTTGATATGGTGCGACATGGTGTGCGCAAATGTGCATGTATGCACGCATTGGGATGGTATGTTATGGTATGGCATGACGCGCAAACTTGTGTTAGGTTATGGTCTGGCCTTGACTGTTACAGTATGTACATGTGATGCGCTGGCCATAGTTTTAGATTATGTTGTGTTGTACTCTGCCATGATCTGTTCTGCCCAAATATGCTTGGTATGGTATGCGTGACAGCTGGTACTCTGTTTTCACGATGCCGAATATTCACGCCTCTGCACGTCATGCGTCGTGACGTCTGAAAAGCATGACGCCGTGACGCTTTCCTGCTTGGCATGTTGGGTGTCGTCATTAGTCGACGGCGCGAGGCGGGTCACTGAGGGACTCCCGAGATCTTGTTGCGTTTGGCGACCGCAGTATGCAGGGAGGGCAGACGGGCATTCTTTTCGTCAAAGCTAGCGGCCCCAGTTGGGCATGGAATAACAGTTTCTGTTGTAAGTTTTTCAAGTTTCCCCCCATGACGGCCCAGAACGGCCCCACATTGCTCCATGTTCCCCCAAGATGCCACCCAGATGGCCCAAGACGCTCTCACGAGACCACCGAGACGACTGACCAACGCCGTTTCCAAGACTGCCCAAATCAGGCCTCGGAGAGTCAAACAACGTTCTG